GTTGTTACAAGTAATGACGATCATGAAATAATTAATGATGATGATCTTATCAACAACCATGTTACCATTATCTTTATTCAGTATTATGAGGATCGTAAAAATGAAAGTGGCAGAGATAATGATGATGATTATTATAATGATGATGATAATAAAATGTTGATGATAACATCATTGATAATAATTTTGTTAATGGTAGTAATAATTACAAGAAAATGAAAGAAAACAAGAAGAAAAAAGGAAGATTGAAACATTTATCAGATAAAATTAACTCTACGGCCAAAAACCCACATTTCACTATACCGTGAAACCAAGCACAATTTGTAGTAAGAATTGTTAGTGATAGTAACGAAGATGATGACGATAGTGGTGACAATCATGGTAATGTTGAAAAAGAATTATCATCATCATTACTTAAGATGATTATAAAGGAGAAAACGGCAAAAATGATAATGATAATTATTATCAATACTATTATTATTATCATTGTCATCATAACATCAACAACAACAATGATCATAATGATGGTAATGATGATGATTATGAGTAATAATAAAAAGGTTGATATTAAGAGTGATGATGATAACAAAAGTAATGATAATAATAACAAAAAAAATCGTCAAAATGATAATAATAATGATAATAGAAATTCTAATTGATATATTGATAATGATAATAACAATAATGATGATAATTATGATAATGATAATAATGATGATAATTATGATAATGATAATAATGATGATAATCATAACAATAGTAATAATAATAACAATGGTAATTATGATAATGATTTTGATAATAATAATGATAAAACTAACAAGAGAGAGAGAGACAGACACAGACAGACAGGCAGACAAACTGAATCACAGACATGAATGCAAGCACTTTCATGCCCCGAGCTGGGAGCGGGAGGGGGGGTAGGGGGAGAGAGCGAGGAAAGGAAATGGGATGGGGGCAAGGAGTGAGAGGGGGTGAGAAGAATAAGAAAAGAATAAATGAAACTTGGAAGAAAAGAAAAGAAAAAAAAAGGTGGAGGGCTGGAATATTGGGTGGGAGGTAAGGGGGATTAGGAGGAGAAGGAAATGGGGGGGATTTGGGGATTAGGGAGGAATTGGGGCGGTGGTAGGGAAGGAGGAAGGAAGGGATGAGGGAAAAGAGGAGGAAAAGATAGAAAGGAAGATGGAGGTGAGAGCGGAACAAAGACTGAAGGATTGGCTGGTGAGTTCTTATCGTTATCATTATCACTAAAATTATTGTTATCATTTTTAAAATTATATCATCACCATCAACATTGTTATTATGATTATCATCATCATTGGTGTTATCATGATTATAATTGTTGTAATAACAATTATTGGTATTATTATTATTGGTATTATTTTCATTGTAGGTTATTACTATTTTGTTATTATCATCATTATCATTATCTTTATCATTCACGTTGCTGCTGTTGTTGTTATCATTATCATTTCTAGTATCATCATTATTATTTTCATGATTATATAATTATATTATCATCATTACAACTTTCATTTCTATTATCATTATTACTATCATTATCATTATCATTGCTATTTCATTTATCATATTATATCATTGCTATTATCACTATATTATCATTGCTATATCATATGTTCATTATCATATCATTATCATTGTCCATATTATCACTATCATTATCATCATCATAACGTTATATAATTATCCTCATTACTATCACTAATATATTATCATTATCATTGAATACATTGTCATCATCATCATCATCATTCTTGTCAATACCATTACTATTGTCATTACTATCTATGTTATTATTACCATTATCTATACCACTATTTTTATCATTATTACTGTCATTATTCATGGACTCATACAATGATGATATGTTATTATTATCATCATCATCATTATTACTATTACCATTATCTTTTATCATTGTTTCTTATTATCCATATCTCATTTCATCATATTACTCTACATTATCATTTGTCATTTATGATTTTTTCATTATCATCATATTCCTTAGTATCATTATCATCAAACAGATGCAAACAACCCAAAGCAGAAGACCGTAAGACAAAAGAACGAAAACGAACGAAAGAGAAAGGGAGAAAAGAGAAGAAGAGAGCTTTTCTAAAACAGTCTTTCCATTTTACAGTTTCCAGCGTGACAAGAAACCCTTCCATCATGGTTCCTGACATCCAGTCCGCCATGGCCTAAAACACACCCCATGCGCTGTAAATGCTTGGGAGAGAGGGAGAGAGAGAGAAAGAAGAGGAAGAGGGGAGAGAGAAGATAAGGGAGAGAGTGGACGAACGGAGAGAGAGAGAGAGAGAGAGAGAGAGAGAGAGAGAGGGGGAAGGGAAGGGAGGGAGGGGGAGGGAGAGGCAAACAGAGGGACAGGAGAGGGAGGAGAGGAGAGAGAGAGAGAAGAGGGAAGAGAAGATTGAGAGAGAGAGAGAGAGAGAGAGAGAGAGAGAGAGAAGAGAGAGAGAGAGAGACAGAGAGACAGAGTGAGAGAAGAGGGAGGTGAGAAGACAGAGAGAGCGAGGGGAGAGCAGAGAGAGGGAGAGAGAGAGAGAGAGAGAGAGAGAGAGACAGAGAAGGGAGGGAGGGAGGGAGGGAGAGAGGGAGGGATGAGAAGGGGGAGGGGCCGGAGGAGGAGAGAGAGGAGAGAGGAAAGAGAGAGGAAGAGACAGAGAACAGGCAGACAGAGGAGAGGACGGAGAGAGGGAGAGAGAGAGAGGGAGGGGAGGGAGGGAGGGAGGGGAGGGAGGGAAGGGAGGGAGGGAAGAGAGAAGGAGAGGAAGGGAGAGAGATAGAAGGAGAGAGGAGAGAGAGAGACGGAGAAGAGAGAGGAGAGCGAAAGAGAGGAGAGGAGAGAGAGAGGAGAGAGAGGAGAGGAGAGAGAGGGAGAAGAGAAGAGAGAGAGAGAGAGAGAAGGGAGAAGGAGAAGAGGAGAGAAGAGGATGAAGGAGGAGAGGAGAGAGAGGAGAGAGAGAGAGAGAGAGAGAGAGAAGAGAGATGAGAGAGATGACGAGAGAGAGAGAGAGAGAGAGAAAGAGAAAGAGGACAGAGAGACGAATGAGAAAGGGAGAAGGAAGGAGAGAGAGAGAGAGAGAGAGAGAGAGAGAGAGAGAGAGAGAGAGAGACAGAGAGAGAGAGAGAGAGAGAGAGAGAGAGAGAGAGAGAGAGAATGAGTAGAGAGAGAAAGAGAAGAGAGAGAGAGAGTATGTGTGTGTGCGTGTGTGTGTGCTTGAGGAGTTGAGAGAAACCTTATGGAGAGATGAATGAAATGTATGAAGAAGATAAATATTCATTCCTAAATGATAGATAGATGGAGAGATAGATAGATGGATGGATGGATGGATACCTTGACGGATGGATTAATGGATATATAGATAGATTGATGGATAAATAAATAGATAGATATATAGATAGAGAGAGAGATAGATGGGTTGACATATAGATAGACAGATGGATGGATTGATGGATTGATGGGTGAAGATATAAAAAATGGACTGATACAAACATGTCGCTGATGATGGATAGACGGAAAAAAAAAATAACGTCGGATAAGAAGATTGATAGAGAAAGAGAAAGATAAAAAGCAGACATACACTAATGATGTTTGTATATACTTAGACTGACAGATAGATGAATAGATAGACCGATAGATCGATACACTAATACACGGATGGAGAGATGTGTAGGTTGACAGGAGAACAGAGATACATAAAACATTTAATTATTCACGTGACAGAGTGAGAGCGAACGTAATATTAAGAAAACATGGAAAGACAGTCGAAATGCTTAAATATGGTTCAAAAAGTGTAAGAATTTCATATTTTTTTCTAATTTCATATGAATTATATATATATATATATATTATAATATATTTTTTTTTTTTTAAGTGTATAGAAGGGATGGCTTATTGGTAACAAAAGTATGCACGCGACATATAGATAGATACACTTCTGCTATACATTGAAAAAAAAGCTTTTAGGTAGATGAATGAACGGGAAAATTGGAACTAAAGTGAAAAATGTATTTAACCTTTTTTTTAACTTTTTAGATCTATCTGGTGGGGAGTTTACATATTGCATATATATCAGTTATATTTCATTTATTGATGTGCACAGAGGATCATGTTTTTGCTCTACTAGTATTAGATATACAGCTGTTGTTCAGATAGATAAAATTGTTAGACAGAAAGATACTAGAGCTATATATGTACCATTACTTGCAGATACCATATTTGAACAAATTGATATCATAGACAGATACCATTCTTATATACTAAGATAGATATATACATACCATAGCCAGACAGAGAGATATTATCGTTAGACAAATACTATGGTAATAGACAGTATATACCATAGTAAGGTACCATACTTAGATATCATAATTAGACAGACAAATACCGTACTTAGACAAATAGATACCATACTTAGGTGGATGCCAAAGTTGGACATATAGTTACTATAGTTTGACAGATGCCAAATATACCATATGGATGGATGTATGCAAACGGGAGAGATGTAAATAGATAAATAGATGACCAAAAACAGGAAAGGTGATAGATGATAGACAGAAACAGGGAAAAGAGGTGTAAGGAAGATACCCTAGTGAGTAATAAAAGAAAATTAAGAATAATAATCAGATATGAATGTCATATACATCAAGAACACATAGGTACTGATATACCATAGACACCCGCCTCATATAACCAAGATATCAAATATAAAAATGAATTTATAATCAAAGGAGACTAATAACAAATTAGTAAAAATATTGGTTATAACGTAGAGCCCCACGACATACAACCTGGATATCAACTATAAAAATATTCACGGGTGACTAATAACAAATTAGCAAAGCTACTGATAACACATAACCGCGAGTGTGCAATAGATGCAATCAAGCACAATGTAATTTATCCTCCATTGCACGCAGAACACACTCACGGCTTCTCCTTTCAATCTGTCTTGCCGGAA